TTTTAACATTAAGTAGTATTCAGCTTTACAATATTACGTCAGTAACTGGAAAGCCTTCAAATTCTCCCTTCCGGTGGGATTTAAAATGCTTCTCGGCAATTCCAGAGTATTGGTACCGGCCCAACAGGGATGGTCTCATTTCAAAGTGTAGGCTGCCACCTACTGACTGTGATCCCTCCCCTCAACACTCAGCTGTCCCCAGAAAGCCAATCAAGCCCACAAGAGGTTCTCTTTGCTCTCATTTGAAGTCACTTGATGAAATGTATTCAACTATATCAATATAATCTTTTAAATATAAATTCTTTCAACTTGAAAAAAAAGAATACTAAGCAGACACGTTTCTGTATTGCCAAAAATTCCTGGCCTATACTCAAAAAGGCAGAGAATTATTTTTTAAAGGTATGTGCTATTTTTAAAATATGCAAAAAGTTCTATTTTAATATATTTCTCTTCACTACTTTCTTTATTCTTCACTCCTGAAAGCTGAAGCTCACCCCTCTCATTCAACAGAGTAGTGGTGATTTAATTGCTCATATTGTTCAACCTGTAATTATTCAAAACTTGAATCCAGTCCTAAAGCTGTTGTAAATGTCACAGCAGCTGCTGACAATAAAGCTGAAAGTTAATTAGCTCAGCCCCTGTCCTGTAGACAAATCCGCCAGTGCTCTCCATGAGCAGCCAAGTTTTTCAAGTGAGAGTTATTTTCTCCCTGTTTTAACCTATTTTTTTTTTTTAAGATTTATTTATTTATTTTCCCCCCAAAGCCCCAGTAGATAGTTGTCTGTCACAGCTGCACATCCTTCTAGTTGCTGTATGTGGGACGCGGCCTCAGCATGGCCAGAGAAGCAGTGCGTCGGTGCGCGCCCGGGATCCGAACCCGGGCCGCCAGCAGCGGAGCGCGTGCACTTAACCGCTAAGCCACGGGGCCGGCCCTAACCTATTTTTTAAGAAAGAAAATCAGACCAACCAAAAAACATTAAAGGGAGATAAAGAAATCTCCTTTCTGAGGCCATCGGCCACTGTCTTGGTGAGATAGTCATGGGTAAATTCACTCAACAACGTTCACAAAACAAGTACCGCCTGACACTATATGGCAGCCAGGGATGTACAGATGATTTAAATATCTGTTGCCTTGAGAAGGTGTCAGGCGCAGAGATCTGATGGGGAGATAATTACAATATAACTGGCCATACGTAAAGATGTGAAATCCGAGCCATGAGACAGCGGTGCCAGGGTCTGCCTGGAGGGTCAGAAGAGCCATACAGAGGAAGCTTCTGAAGGCAAAACAGGAGTTTACAAGGTAAGTCAGATGGGAGAGAGAGATCCAAATGGCATGTGCAAGGGAAGAGAGATGGAAAAAACAGGGGCCTAGGGAAAACACGCAGTAATTCAATATTAGTCAAGAATAAAGTGAATGAGGTCAGCCAGGCAGGTAGGGGCAGATCTCAACGTCTTTTGAATATCCTGTCAAGAAATGTGCATCTTAGAATGATCACCCTAGTAACAAGGTAACGAATAGATTGGAGGGAGGGTGATGACTAAGAAAAGCGATGAAATGGTCCAAGCAGAGATGATCGAGGAGCTGAAGTGAGACTCCAGGGCAGTGAGGATGGAAAGAAGAGGCCATACTCAAGACCAACTATGCAGATAAAATCATAGGACGTGACTGGATGTGGGGAATAAGAAAGAAGGACGAGACGAGGATCTCCCGGTTCCTGGGGCGAAGGCAACCGAATGGATGGTGGCGTGTTCACCCAGACAGGAAATGTAGTGGGAGGCATGGACTTCCTGGGTGGATGTAATGAATTCAGCTGAGTTTGGAAATGCTGAGTGTGAAGTAACCGGAACATCGAGGTGAAGATGTGCAGGGGTACACTGAATACCCAGATCTGAAGCTCAGGCCAGAAGTTAGACTGGAAATAGAAATGCGAAGTCACTAGTGTGTGAGTAGCAGGTGACATGGATAAAATGCCCCAGACAGAATGAGTAGTGAGAAGAGCACATGGATGAGAACCTGGGCATACAGCCAACAGAAGACGCACCAGCTTAAACAAGCACGCGGCATGCTCCACACTGGCTCAGGCCAGACGGAAGAGGGAAGGCTGGAAACTGCTCCGCAGCATAGGACACCAGATCTAGACAAGACTAAGTTATAAAAGGATAATTCAACTTCTGGTTTCCAGTTCCACACATAAGGAAACTAGAAGTCGCCACTCAATCCTAACAAGTAAAAAGCTGAGGAGACTGAAAAATCAACAACTCTTCTTGGACGCAAAAAGAGGGGAGGACACAGAGCAAACCACTGCCCCCAAGACTAGAGAGACAGTCAGACGAATACATGCAATCTCAACGTACCAGGGTGGAGACCCAGGAGCGGAAACCACTGCAGGACCCAGTGCCCGGGCAGGAAAATTTGGACTGTAACTGACAAACTGCTGGAGGCTCAGTGTGATCAGGTCTGAGAGTTAAAAACTCCAGGGGACCCAGGCATAGGGGGCCCCCACAATAAAGTAAGGTTTATCTCCAGCAGCTCCACCAGGTTCCCATAGTAAACATCAGAAAAATCCCCTCTTGCTTCCAGCAGGGAAACCAGACAAGGAACCATTTTGAAATACACAGAGCACTCCCTTCTTAACAAGGCCTGAACTCAGGTAAAACCAGTTAACTAGAACCTAACCTACTCGGTATTATCAGAGGATAATTGACTGGTGATTGACTGGGGGAAGGGAAAGACCCAACTCCAGCCCACTCGAGCCATCCTGTCCCACCTGAGGGGGAAGAAAAAACCAAGCAACTTGTCAAGTTCACAGTCCAGAAGCACAGGCTCACTAAAAGACTGAGACCTAATCACAGGACTACAGAACACTTCCCCTCCCCCCGGCCTCATCATATCTTTAAAGGCCTGCTTACAGCAGTTCCTTTTACCAGGTACATACAGTCTGGCTATCAAGAAAAAATTACAAGGCATATCAAAAGGCAAAAAACACAATTTGAAGAGACAGAGCAAGCATCAGAACCAGACACAGCAGAGATGTTAGAACTATCAAACCAGGAATTTAAAGCAACTCTGATTAATATGCTAAGGGCTCTAATGGATAAAACAGACAGCATGCAAGAACAGATGGGCAATGTCAGCAAAGAAGAAAATCCTAAGAAAAAAACCAAAACTACAATTCTATGCTTTAAATATTAGTTAATATATACAAATATATTCAGGTATATTCAAATACAGTCTAGAAGTGCATATACCAAGATATGTACGGTGGTTTTCTCTAGGTTATCTCTGGAAGTACAGGCAATTTTTATTTTCTTCTTTATGCTCTTCTATATTTTCCAAATTTTCTACAATGCATATACATTACTTCTGAAATCACATGTATAAAGGTTTTTAATGTTTTTTAAGGGTCTAGGTTGTAGGAGTCTGAATTAGCTGGAACTAATGGAGATAGTTTGAGATAGCTGAGATTGGCCCAACTACCTCAAACTCTAAACAACTGTTAGAAATAGACAGCTAGGAGAAAACAGAGGGACAGGACCCAGAAAATCAACCTGCTCTAAAGGGAAGAGAAAAGAATGACCTGGGAGTTTCCTCCTCCAAGCAAGATGGAACATGCTATGGTTTTTTAGATTCAAATAAAACATAACCTTAGAGGAGAGTGGAACAAGAAGGAACAACAATTAGAAAAAAGAAATCTTAAAGACCCTCACTCCTTACTCTGTGAGCACACGTGAGCTTCATGAGGCAGTGGTGAAGGTAAGAAGAACAGTAGATGTCAAATCCTCCCCATCAACTTAACTGCTTTGCTGACTTCCAGATTAGATAAGACTGAGAGAACAAATCAAAGGTCAAAAGCACCTCAAAGGCATCCCTGAGAAGAAGGAATTGAAACACACTCCTTACGCAGCAAGTCAGAGTAGGAATGCTGGGATGGGCCAAAAGGCATTCTGAGGGTTTTAGGTCTGAGTCAAATGAAGTGAGTGAAAGCAACAGGCAGAAATCAATCACGTGCCAGGCAAAAGACACAGACCAGTTGGGAGGAAACATGCAGAAGTGGTAATGTGATGGGTAATTTTATGTCACCTTGGCTAGGCAATGGTGCCGAGTTGTTTGGTCAAATACCAGCCTAGATATTGCTGTGAAGGTATTTTTTAGATGCGATTAATATTTAAATCAGTAGACTTGAAGTAAAGAGGATTACCCTTCATAATGTGGGGTAATCTCCCACCTGAAGGCCTTAGGAGAAACGAGTGAGGTTTCCCAAACAAGAAGAAATTCAGCCTCAAGACTGCAATGTAGACACCCTGCCTGGGCTTCTAGCCCGCTGGCCTGCCCTACAGATTTCAGACGTGCCAGCCCCCACAATCGAGTGAGCCAATTCCATAAAAAAATAAGTCTCTCTAGTTCTCATTCTCTCCTTCTCTTTTGCTCTTTCTCTCTCCCTGGATATAGATATAGATACAGATACATAGATACAGGTGGAGACAGATATAGATACATAGACATATATACACCTACACGAATAGTATATAATACATCTATATACATACACACACATAGATATAGATATATAGATCTATCCTAATGCTTCTGTTTCTCTGGAGAACCCTGACTAATGCAGGTAACAGAAGATGAAATCTATTGACAGAGACCAATAGGCCAGAATCTTGACCCAGAGGCAATGGAACTGAAATTGGCTAAGGCAGGCAGCAATAAGAGATCAAAGATTCCTGGACAGGAAAACGACATGATAAAACATTGTGAAGATTATTTTGGAATCTATAATATGTGTAATATGAACTAGATCAGAGGGATGCTACAGTTAGAACACATTTGGAGAAATCTAGGCCAAAGGATTCTGTGGATGGCTGCAGAAATGAAAAAGAACCCCTCTATACAATAAGGATAAGGCAAACAATTTAACAGGCCTATTATGTATTCTCAAGATCTTTAAGCAAAAGTTCTACAGCAATACTGTTCATACATAAAGATATTAACTTACCATATTTGTCTCGCAAGCCAACAGTACATCTAAAGACTCCACCAAAGGCAACATCTTCACCAAATATTACTGGAAAACAATGTTTAAAGAACACATTTTATTTAATAATCCTTACATGATAGTAACAACAAGAAATAAGTAATTTAAATGTTTACATTTTAAATCAGAAAACAGAAATAGATCTAAATCAAGTTTCTCAATTTCAACATTTTTGACATTTTTTGGACTGGATAATTCTTTTGTTGTAGCTGCCTGTCCTCTGCATTATAGATACATAGCAGCATCCTTGGTCTCTACTCTGTGGATGACAGTTGTCCCCACACACAGCTGTGACAGCCAAAAGTGTCTCCAGGCATTGTTCAATATAAGGGGATTAAAGTCGCCCCAGTTGAGAAAGAACCACTGATCTAGAATTTCATCTTGTTTTACCCACGAAGAAAATGAGGCCAGGGAAGGAGTAAAGGAACTTGCCAGGTCAGAAAGCAAGCGGCAGAACTCGGACTCACACTGCAGCCCTGACTCCCTGGTCAGTGGTTTTTACACATGTATACAATGAAGCCAGCAATCTGAAGAGCCGAAGGAAAAGCAGTCCAGGCTGAGACCACAGTCACAAACAGGAAAGTGACGCCGACTGCGTGAAACAGAAAGGAGGCGAGTACGGTGGACGTGGAGAGTGAGGCAACGAATAGTCCAGGTGGAGCTTGAGGGGAGCTTTGCAGTAAGGCCAAGAAAAGAAAATGGCGGGCATGCACAGCACTGACTTCTGTGGACCTCAAGAAAATAACACCCTTCTCTGCTCACCTAGATCAACAGTGCTCAGACAGCATTCGAAACAAAGCAAGGTCTAATTATCCACTAGTCCAGCTCTCACTTCCTCCTACAAAATAACGTGGTTTTCACTTGATCTTAAAACTAGGGATTCTCAAGTAGAAGCCCAAGGTATACTAACTATACACATGAAGTAAAGCCAATCAAATGTAGAAAACATACAGCAGAAGGACAACTGATTTTTATCAATAATTTAACCTGATAAGATAAAGTTACTTATATAGTTATTTATAAATATAAAAAAAAAATCTTACAAGTTGAATGACAATATGTCCCAAAGGAAAGCACAGAATCAAATCTTTATTTTATAAACAGATAGCTGAACAAAACGGTATTTTCCATTTTTTTTATATGCTGGAAAAACAAGAGTACACAGTAGGCATTAATCCAGAAAGTATTAATATAATATCAGGACCACATACACTATGGGAGAAAGTTAACTTGATGACGTTAGATATACATGAGAACTAATTATAGTGAATAAAAAAATGCGGTAATATCATAATTTGAGTATTTAACCTTAATCATTTGATTAGGCCTTTTAAAAATTTCAGGTAGATATCACATTAACCATTGAGCTCGAGACAAATATTTCCAGCAAATCTTCAATTCTGAATTAACACAACTACCATAGTCAAGCACAAAGGAAGTTTACCTGCAGTAGGATCTTTAGCCAATGAGTTATCCAAGGCACTTGTTACTGCCTGGAAAAGATTCATTTTCTGAGTTTGCCCTGTGAAAATTAAAAAAAAAAAATAACATTTCATACATTGTAAAATATATAAAAACTAACCAGTTTCTTAACAGTTGATTACAACTTGATTAAAATCAAGGTAGAAAGGAGGGTATAGAATATATTATGTGAATTTATTGGATTATTTACAATGATGCCGGGTTCATGGAAGATAAAAAAGCAATACGGATTTCAAGAAGCTTGTTGATGAGGCAAAATTTGCACATATTAATTAAAAACAAGTATAAAAAAGGAAGAAGGAATATAATCAAGTGAACAAATGTGTGCAGACAATAAAAAAGCTCTGGAAAGTCAGCAAAAGGAACCAGCCAGAGTGAGGGTGGTTAGGGAAGACGCTCTGGCCGGCTGGTAGGAAACTCAGCCACAATGACGGCACGGGACCAGGGGCCTGTGTTGACTATGCCATGAGAAGCAAATGGTCATGGGCATGAAACAATGAGAAAGGCTAACAAGAAGCTGCAGTACCCGGAACTGCAGTGTTTGGAGAATACCATAATCCCACACCCAAACACGTGAGACTCGGCCTATTCTTAATGGTCAAGGAGAATCTCTGCAGGACAACCTCCACCTCCCTCAATGGGTAGTCAGGAGGGCTGAATGGAACACACACGTAAAGCACCTGGAACAGTGCCTGCCACAGTGAGTGCTGAACAAACATTAGCTATTTATTGCTAGATTTTGGACTTGGTCCACGTCCTTCATCTTGACCTTGGCATTACTCTGAATGGTATAAAGCTTTATTTGATAGTTTCCAAATGTTGGAACTCAGAAACATCACGACTTCAGCACTTTGATTTAAGCCTCGGTGCTGCCCAGTGCCCACAGACATCCCAGAACTTTGGGTCAACTCCTCTCCAAAAGCACTATCCAGAGCAGAGAAAGGCTTCTGTCTGAATCTTCTCTGACCCACAGGCCCAATCTTCGCTCTAGTGCCTGATCCATGCACTGGTGCTCACCTTAACCCCAGCCATGCTGATATCAAATCCCGCCAACATCTGCTTATGCTGACCACCGTCCCAGCCAACCTCTGTGCTCCTCAGCAGCCTGGTGTGTCCCAAAAGCCAAGGTCTAATTCCCAGGGTGGGTCACAGCAGCTACTGCTGTTACCATCAACCCTCTGGCTGTGAGACACACTGGTCACTCATCCTTTCCCTGGAGATCCATCTTCTTCCCAAGCCTGGCCTGTCTCCACAGCTGGCTCTGATCTATGACATCTTGAATCTTCCATTATCCACTGACACCCAGCCTTCTGACTTTCTGCCTGCTCTGGCCTCAGATGTCTCTCCGACCCCTTCAACACTGCTGAACGCCCAGGCTTCAGGTCTTGGAATACCCCATCAGACCTGCCCTGCTGCCTTCTGTACCCAAAAGACAGGCCTGCTTCTACTCTTACTGCTGGTAGGGATAATAGGAATTTATTAAGAAAGTATTGTTATATCACCTACGTCAAAGGATACACAATCATACCACATGTCCATGATCACGTCATAATTTATTTGTCTTCAAGCTAAGCTTTTATTATTTAATAGATATTTTACTTAAATCCTTCTCCATTCTATAAAAAAGTGTTTATTGGTGCCCAGCATCAGATGATAATGGTTTAGGGTAAACTTTTTTCCCAACCCCCATGACATTCCCACTCTTTCTCCTATTTCATACATTTCCTAAAGTAAGATTTTTATTTGTCTATTAGGATTTTCATAGCTAAGAACCTAGGAAGAATGAAAATGCCTAAACATCAAAGCTGGTATTTATTTCAAGTCTGCTGACTATTTGAATTAATACTGAATGCCCCCAGGACATCTTATCTCATTGCTGCACAGCAAGTTTTCAGTAGGAAGAAAGCAAAGACTTTAATAATAAAAATCCTACAAAGGAAATCTGGAAAGTATTGCTTGATAACCACAAAGAATTTACTTATCTTATAGGAAAATAATTTACAAATAAGGGTATTTAAAGGTTATATTTTCATGTGAGCACATAAACTTTCACTCCTGAATACTTTTTTTCAAACAGATTCAAAATTTTAGGTTTTGGATTAACTGCTATTCTGCTAGACGCTTTTAAAAGTTTTAAATGACAATTATTAAGACAGCAACATCTTTTGATTCTTTTCAAAGTTGCAGTACGATTTGCGGATGGGTCAGGAAGAAATCACAAGTTACTCAAGGTAAGATCATTTTAAATATTTATTTTCCTTAGACTTACTTATTCTCCTGTAGGTTACCCCAAAGACCACTGATAAAATATGCCTATGTCCCCTCATGATAAGATAAACACACCTGTCGAATGTCTAACCAAAGCCATACCACTGGTAAGATGTTAAACGAGAAAAAAAATGTCTATGAACACCACTAAAAAATGATTAAACACAGTTGTCAAATCATACAATTATCAGTATTAATAAATGTCTGCTAAACTTCAAAACCAGAGTGACAACTCTTCTTTCCAAGATAAAAAGATAGAACAAAACAAACATAAAAACATACACAGCAGTGCAATTTCCCAGTCAAGGATGCAAGCTAGTGGGTACCCATAGGTAAAACGGGGCTTTATGGGTGGCATTGAGCTGCTCACTCGAAATTGTCCTAAGTAGAGCATTGTGAATGACCAGGTCACATCATCACTGCTGCAAAGACAAAGTGACACTCGGCAGGATATAAGGGACACAACAGAACACAAGCTACCAGACGGTAGGGATTCTGATCCGCTCTCGATCAGAGGTACATGCTCCGCATTTACAACAATGTCTGACACGTGGTAGGTGCTCACTAAATATCTGCTGCATGAATGACTGAACAAATACACATGAGGCAGAGCGAAGCTTGCTCACCAAAAAAAAAATAAACAAAGCAAATTATTAATCACCCACTTAAAGAGAAAGGAACGGGGTAGGAAAAAAGATCTACCAGCGTCACAATTCAAAGACAGACAGCAGGAGAATGGGAGCGGGGGAGAGGTGATATTGCAGTAAGAGTCTAATGGAACAGTCAGTTATTCTAAATATTCAGTATGCAGTACTGTTGAAGGAAGAGAGGAGCCTTCCAGAGCTAGAGCATCTGAGACAAAAGAGGCAAATGGGTGCCCAAGGAGCACTCTCCAGAAATAAACAAGGTCAACAGCAGGGCATGTAGACAGTAAGTGCACTTGTAGTTAGACCGCAAACAAAGAAAAATACACAGCTATGATATGGAAAGTTAGGGTCTACGTTCAGAAAACGAAGCTTCCAACAACACATTCGGCCCTGGCCCTCCTCTGAGCTGCCACAGTCCTTGGTATAGACCTGTGTATTACCGCACTTCCTCGTCATACTCCTTAGAGACCTCAGCACTGAGCACAGTGCCTACCACACGCACCACAATCAGTATATGCCTGTTGAAGTGCGATGAATGAATGATTTCAGTGGCATAATCTGGCACTAACCATATTGGGAAATGGAAGGATGCCTAAGAAATCACCTATTTTCTTCCAACAAAACCCACCCCTCCAGATACCTTATTCTCCAGGATCCCTTTCTATGTGCCAGGTATGTACCTCTATCTCATTCTAATCCCTATTAAAGGGTCTCCTAACCTCTACTCCATAAAGTTAGTTTCATGGAGAATTCAAATATCAAGGACAGAATGTTTTATACTAAAATGTAAATGAAGGATCTATAAACACAAATGCCTTTTTAGGTGCCAGTGTATACTGCATATGGATGAAAAGGAAGACAGTAAAAGGGGGTGGGGGTCACCTGAGGCCAAAATTGGGAGGACCCAAGAGCCTTACAGTTGCAGAGACTGTGGCAAGGGCCCCTAGCTTCCCCT